CATAGTTTTCAGAGAGTTGGATTGATATTTTACTATCATGGGGACTTCACTCGAAAGAAAACATATTGTTTTAATAAAAGCCATTGTTTTTATGGCCAGAAAGTACTCATGGTGAAAGACATGACTGTCTAAAAGCACTTGCCATACTGCACATGGACTTTAGAGAAAAGCATATCATTTTGATGAAATGTGATACATTCATTGTGAGAGAATGGTAAAAAATATTTGATATATCATCACTGATTACTCCCACTAAGTAAATAGTAAGAACCCAATACATGTTTTGTAGATTCCCCTTGCAATACTGGTATTTCCATTCCCTGGAACGGTGGTTACCAGTGCATTTGTCCACCCAACAAACGAGGCAAAAATTGCAGTGAAGGTGAGTATTTGTAAGAATAGGAAACAGAAATATTTTGTCCATTTAAAACCCATTGACAATCCACTGAAACCCATTAACATTTCATTGTACAGATTTCACCAATTGTCATTTTTAGATGTTCCTGATACTCATGATTGCCCGTGGCCTGGGAATGGTAAGTCATACAATCAGATGCAATACATAATAAATAGTGAATAATAAAGTAATAATAATAGAAATGAAATCATAATGTTCATAATAAAATCTGTAAAATCTCCGTTTTATCGAGTTTCTTATTTCATTGCATGTCAACAAGATTAGGCTTAACGCTAGAACATACAGTTTCTAAGATCTGTTAATAATAAAAATCATTTTCAATTTTTTTTTATACCATTGTGCAGATTGTTGAATTGAAAGTGTAAGTTTTTTGTTCCTAATTTCGATCAGTGTTAATCTGTTTGTATTTGTTGCTCGTCATTACGCCATCGAATTGCAAGAGTTATGTTTGTGCTCGAAATAAACCCAAAGCTATTAACATTTCTTCTTCGAAATCAAAATGAAATGTTTTTGCAGAGAACGCATGTTCCTCAGTACCTTGCCATGGGGAAGGCGCCATATGTATAAACACATTTGGCGGGAATTATAAATGCTTATGTCCACCCGGGACTACTGGTGATCGTTGTGGTCGAGGTAAGATAACGTTTGTTTAGTAATGTAAACGCTTTTAGTTAAAACGATTATATATACAGGGTGGGCCATAAAAACGCCACCTTTTTTCAAGACGCTATAACTTTTTTATTTTCCAACCTACATACCCCAAATTTGCAGTTATATGGTGCCAAGGGTTCTTAGTATTAATATAATGTAACAAGTCCTTATGATTTTCGAAGATTGTGGTGTGGATTTGTTTATACCGGTGTCACGCAATGTTTATACGGGTGCCACACATATGTGTGTACGAGTGCCACACATATGTTAAGTCAATTGCAAAACTCGTGAACATTTTTACAAGGGCAAAACATGTGTTTGACATTAACGAAGTGCTCTGATATCATTTAGTCTGTATACGGTGCTAGAATGATGAAATAAGTAAGAAAGAAAAAAAAAGAATCTTTGTAAGGGTAATATATTTAATTGACAAAAATGTAGCGTTCTCAGTCTACAGTCGTGGGGTAGGGCGTCCGTTACCCCTAGGGGCCGAGATCCCCGAAATATGTACACGCCACCACGCCGAGGGGGAGGGGTGAGGTCCCCGTATGTGCCTCCCGAGCTCAGGGAGGCTCACAGATGTCCCTCCCCATTGGAGCCCATGTTAGGGAGGGTAATATGAAAAATCGTGTCCCTCCCCATAGGACTCCATGTTAAAGGTGCGCCAGAACTCTGAGAAACATACCGGTAACACGGTGTATAACCCAAACGCTCCTACATGCACGACGGAGCGTTACATTTACGCGGAAACGCTCCGAAGCGAAATAAAATGGCGGCTAATGAAGATTCTACTATGACCGTAAGTATTGTTTCTCTCGTTTCTCTTACATATCATATGTCATGGTGAAATATTATGTACCATTCGATGAACAATTCCGTGAGCAAAGATCTTATTTATTCAACTTCTGGTGGTAAACTGTTATTTGCTTGATCAAAGCTCCGTAGTGTAGATCGAACGAATCTGAAGATGACCATTTGACCACAAATTACGAATTAAACTAGTATTTCTATGAAAACGTTAATCTTTCTGTTTAAGTAGTAGATTACAAACTCGTATATTCTCATTTCCTAAAATCCCAGTCCAAATCCATTACTTGTTCTCGAGAAATCGCTTGTTTTCCTCGAAACGCTCCGTCGATTTAGACCACAATTTTAGAAACGCTCTTACCATTTTGTTTTGATATCATTTTCAGATTATTAGAGAAGAGTTCCGAATCGAATCTATTTCTCAAAATCTTGTTGTACTTGTCAGGCAAATTGAAACATCTGAACCTGGTGGTGCTAAACGTGCAACTAGCTGATTAAAGCCTATACATTAGATGATGTCATGCCTACATATGTGCTAAATCATAAAACTATAGAAAAAAACGAAAAGTTATATGTGAATTAATCTTTCTTCTATTGATGCCAAGGGGTATAATAGATCTTTTCTTTCTCTTCCTGAAAAGGAAATGCAACCTATATATTTCCTTAACTGATCTAGACTACCGGAGCGTTTCCAATTAACTGTGTTAACCAGATCGGAGCGTTTCTTGAATATGAGAATGTCATCATTTTTAAGACTGGATTTTCGGTCATCAAATCACTATTACGATAATGTATGGTGCGTTGAAGCATTGGAATTTGACTAAAATATACGTTGGTGCTCTGATCTTGGCTCAACTAATCACATGTATCGACAAAAGGGGTTTTGACCGGTAGAATGACAAATACGTTTTTGAATTTTGATAACTATACTGCTTCGTACAGCTCTTCCTAATTGCTTCAAACGTCAACAGCCAGCCACGTACAACATGAATATCACACCCATCGAATGGTATACTCGAAATATGTAACTCATACCTCATATTCCCATTATTGGGGAAATTGTCAGACGGCTCATCATTCCCGCCAGACAGTTTTCCTACTCCGGAGCGTTTCTTTGTTTAATTTCAGTAATGAAACGCTCCGTCGTGCATGTAGGAGCGTTTGGGTTATACACCGTGGGTAAGTACGGGCTCAGGTAGATTATCGATTACCAATCAGCCAGCCGTTAATTGGTGTAAAGTATTTTTTATCATTCGGCCATCGATTTTAATTAACCCCATTCAACGTTATTAATAAGGTTGGTCACGTGGTCAAAAATTGACCAATCAGAACGTGCTCACGTGGTTTAAACTGCCCAATCAGAACGTTTAAATTTGAATTCGAATAGGACGACTCTCCACAAAATTAACGTACAGTCGTGGGGTAGAGCGTCCGTTACCCCTAGGGCCCGAGATTCCCGAAAACATGTACACGCCACCACGCCGAGGGGGGGGGGCGTCCGTTACCCCTAGGGGCCGAGATCCCCGAAATATGTACACGCCACCACGCCGAGGGGGAGGGGTGGGGTCCCCGTATGTGCCTGGCATCACATAAATAATCCATTTCAAATATAAAACTATGTTTGAAAGAGGATAATATTGGAAAATACAATCCATCTTAGCGGATGTAGACTAGATCTATATTTCGTAAACGCTGAGGTTACTGTACTAGTACATTATAAAGTGTACAAGTACATGTAATAAACATTCATGATCGATAGATAAGTGAATTAAGTATTAACGGTCGAAGCCTTCAGGCTTGTGTTTGAACAACATATCAGCAGCTGATCGTCTGACTCACGTGGAGGTTTGAGTCACGTGTCTTTACTTAACGTATTACTACTACAATTTACACATTATCGTCAGTTGGTAGCAGTGGCCTAATGGATAACGCGTCCGGCTGTAGCGGAAGGTTGCGAGTTCGAGCCTGGCATGGATCTCATTATGTTTCTTTGGTTTTTTATAAAGTTAAAGGGTTTTGTTGCATGACTGGCACCACCCCATTGGTTTGTACAGGCGAGCACCACCCCATAGAGTTATACAGGCTGGCACCACACCATTGAGTTGTACAGGCGAGCACCACCCCATAGCGTTATATAGGCTGGCACCACCCCATTGATTTGTACAGGCGAGCACCACCCCATAGCGTTATATAGGCTATACAGGCACCACCCCATAGACCTCTATAGGATGAGAAGGTACCGCCTCATAGAACTATACAGTAAAACAAAGGGTTATGTAATAGGGGTGGGTCAGTTCTCTCCTTTTGACAACTACTTTTGAGATTTTAATAACCCCCTCGAGAGTTTTGATTGGCCTACAGAGGTGGCCAAAAAACGTTTTTTATTGTGATATAACTTTTTCGAAACTGCAAGGCTTTCAAAAATATTTTGGCAGGATTTGCAGAAATCAACTGTTCCCGAAGTAAGATTAATAAATCTTTATAGGGGTTCTTGGATTATGACGGTAAACAGACAAAAGGGGTCTATTTGGAAAATTCCAAATTTCAGGATGAAGTTCAAACTCTCAGGAGTTAACATTTGACCCCAAATCTGAAATTTTACGATTCAATCTTAAATGTCTAGTTGATATTTCATCACTAGGGGATTACTGCTTATACTGCGCAAGTAGAGGATGGAGGAATACCACGTGTTCTGTGTTCGACGACAAACCATTCTTGGCATCGATGTCAGTGCAAGACGTAACACTCAAGACCCAGGTGTCAAGGTAGGACTAAAGATACACGCAGATTAAACATGTTTCACAGTATTTCTCTATCTGTAATTTTTCTGTCATTTTGGTATAAAATACATTTACCGTAATCAGGCCAACAAGTACAACATATTACATTTGTCCTCGCCAGGGTAAGATAAGTTCAGTTATATTTGTGTAAATTCATCTGTACAAGTAGCATGTGGTGTAATTAAGAGCAAAGTTGAGGGAGGGGAGAGAGGGATAGAGAGGGGGGGAGAGGGATAGATATAACATGAGAGACTTAATAATTCGATATGTGTTTCAGGACACAATGCATGAAGAACAAATGGGGTTTCAATTATGAAGCCGGAACAATTTGGGTAGCTAAAGGATGCAGAGGCGAATTTTGTGTGCACTTTCAAGAACCTGAAGCACACACACCAACTTCTACACCAGGCCTGACAAGTCCACCAAATCAACAGGGTACAAAAGCTACACCATTTCTTTCATATACACATTTTTCTAAATATCAAAAAATACGTAGGCAATTGAATTTGCTAACTTTATTTAACGAAAAATTGATACGTTTTTTCAGTTTCAACAAAGTTATAGGTCTTGAAAATCACAATTGTTTCTCTAAAAACCTCTCCCATTGAAATAACACAGGAGGCGCAAAATGATTTTCAAAAATGACTTTGAAGCTCTGTGACTTTAGTATTCATCAAGTAAACTAAACATTTAGTGCACAAAATAGTTAGGCAGTTCAATTTTCTATATAAAATGACTTTTTGCTGAATCTTTTACAGAATAGATATCCTGAAATCTGATTTGCCCCGATTCCACCATTTCCTATTGGTTTCAATGGGAATGACGATTTTCAAAAAATCATAAAATTTCTCATCAATTGCGACCAATTGTAATCGAGGAAAAGAATTGGGAAAATTTGGAGGTATTGGAAATAAAGACAAGTTACGTTTCCATAAATATTATAAGTTATTTCATTGCAGGTTAAGCAAATAAAAATGTCAACGTAAAGCGGCTTTAACACGTAGTCCAATGGGGGAGCTAAGGTCTCCAAACTTATTTAGGGAGTGTAAAATGAACTCTCGTGATCTTTCGTTACCCATTTATACCCCTCTACAGCAAAAAGTACTCAATGTTACATGGTATGTCATATCTCATTTTAAAGATAATTGATTCTGGAGTTACCTGAGAAATGTCAGCTTTATATCTTATAACTTTACAGATTTACAGTTGATTCTTAGTAGTTGGCATTGCCACCAGTTGCTGCTTAAACAGCAGCTTATTTGGATGGATATGATTTCAATGAAAATACTGATAATTGGTGAAGCATTCAATAATCCTCTAAGCACTTTCCTCACATTCTTCAGAATTACATTCTTACTGTATCTTTTTTTCAAGAGGCTCTTTGTCCATCAATTCCTATACTGAATTCTGGGCTCGGTTCTGAATACTCTATTCAGAACTGAGCCCATATGTTCAGTGCAATTGAAATCTGGGCTAATTCTTTCATATTCCACTTTCTTAAAATTTGACCTTGAACCAGTAACAGAGCAGCAAACAAATTTCAGAAGTAGCAAACTTTGAAACAATGAAGCTTTTTTAATATAAAGTTTAATTAAATGAAATTTGATGAATAACTCCAGAATTATATTATCTTTCAAATGAGGTATGACACGATATGTACCATTAAGGACTTTTCACTGTAGAGGGGGGGGGGGCTGTTGTTTTTGACACCCTGCCTACAGATGAGGCCAAAAACCTTTTTTTTATTTTGATAGAACTTTTCCGAAAGTTCAAGATTTTCAAAAATATTTTGTTAGGATATGCAGAAATCAATTATACAACTGTTCCCGAAGTAAGATTAATAAATCTTTATAGGGGTTCTTGGATTATGAAGGTAAACAGACATAAGGGGTCTATTCGAAAAATTCAGAATTTCAGGATGAAGTTCAAACTCTCATAAGTTAACATTTGACCCCAAATCTGAGATTTTACAATTGGTTGACCTTTATATCTTTAAAAATGCCTACGAGGGCCTCCATGAGATTGCTTCACGATCTTAAATGTCTAGTTGATATTTCATCACTAGGGGATTACTGCTTATACTGCGCAAGTAGAGGATGGAGGAATACCACGTGTTCTGTGTTCGACGACAAACCATTCTTGGCATCGATGTCAGTGCAAGACGTAACACTCAAGACCCAGGTGTCAAGGTAGGACTAAAGATACACGCAGATTGAACATGTTTCACAGTAGTTCTCTATCTGTCAATTTTCCTGTCATTGTGGTATAAAATACATTTACCATAATCAGGCCAACAAGGTATAACATATTACATTTGTCCTCGCCAGGGTAAGATAAGATCAGTTATGTTTGTGTAAATTCATCTGTACAAGTAGCATGTGGTGTAATTAAGAGCAAAGTTGAGGGAGGGGAGAGAGGGATAGAGAGGGGGGGAGAGATGGATAGATATGACATGAGAGACTTAATAATTCGTTATGTGTTTCAGGACACAATGCATGAAGAACAAATGGGGTTTAAATTATGAAGCCGGGACAATTTGGGTAGCTAAAGGTTGCAGGGGCGAATTTTGTGTGCACTTTCAAGAACATGAAGCAAACACCCCAACTCCTACACCAGACCTGACAAGTCCACCAAATCAACAGGGTACAAAAGCTACACCATTTCTTTCATATGCACATTTTTCTATTAACCTTTTCAAAAAATACAAGTTAGGTAGGCAATTGAATTTGCTAACTTTATTTAACAAAACATTGATACGTTTCTTCAGTTTCAACAAAGTTATAGGTCTTTAAAGTCACAATTTCTTTTCTACAAACCTCTCGCATTGAAATAACACAGGAGGCGAAAAATGAATTTCAATTACTTTGAAGCTCTGTGACTTTAGTATTCATCAAGTAAACTAAACACGTAGTGCACAAAATAGTTAGGCAATTCAATTTTCTATATAAAATGATTTTTGCTGAATCTTTTACAGAATAGATATCCTGAAATCTGATTTGCCCCGAACCCACCATTTCCTATTGGTTACGTGGGAATGACGATTTTCAAAAAATCATAAAATTTCTCATCAATTGCGACCTATTGTAATCGAGGAAATAATTGGGAAAATTTGGAGGTATTGGAAATAAAGACAAGTTGCGTGTTTCCATAAATATTATAAGTTATTTCATCGCAGGTAAAGCAAATAAAAATTCCAACGTAAAGAGGTCTTTCTTTACCCATTTATACCCCTCTACAGCAAAACTTACTCAATGTTACATGGTATGTCATATCTCATTTCAAAGACAATTTAATTCTGGAGTAACCTGAGAAATTTCAGCCTTATATCTTATAATTTTACAGATTTACAGTTGATTCTTAGTAGTTGGTATGATCATCAGTTGCTGCTTAAACAGCAGCTTATTTGGATGGATATAATTATCAATGAAAATTCAGCTAAAGGTGTAGCATTCCATAATCCTCTAAGCACTTTCCTCACATTCTTCAGAATTACATTCTTACTATATCGTTTTAAGAGGCTCTTTGTCCATCAATTCCTATACCCTGTTTTTTAGAACTCAGCCCATATGTTCAGTGCAGTTGAAATCTTGGTTAATTCTTTCATATTCCACTTTCTTAAAATTTGACCTTAACCAGTAACAGAGCAGCAAACAAAGTACTGAATTATATTATCTTTCAAATGAGGTATGACACGATATGTAACATGAAGGACATTTTGCTGTAGAGGGGGTTGCTGTTGTTTTTGACACCCTGTATACCAGGGTGTCAATTTTTTGAAATTGTGATTGATCTCAAAATGATTGATTGATCTCAAAATGATTTTTGCTGAATCTTTTACAGAATAGATATCCTGAAATCTGATTTGCCCCGAACCCACCATTTCCTATTGGTTTACGTGGGAATGACGATTTTCAAAAAATCATAAAATTTCTCATCAATTGCGACCTATTGTAATCGAGGAAATAATTGGGAAAATTTGGAGGTATTGGAAATAAAGACAAGTTGCGTGTTTCCATGAATATTATAAGTTATTTCATCGCAGGTAAAGCAAATAAAAATTCCAACGTAAAGAGGTCTTTCTTTACCCATTTATACCCCTCTACAGCAAAACTTACTCAATGTTACATGGTATGTCATATCTCATTTCAAAGACAATTTAATTCTGGAGTAACCTGAGAAATTTCAGCTTTATATCTTATAATTTTACAGATTTACAGTTGATTCTTAGTAGTTGGTATGATCATCAGTTGCTGCTTAAACAGCAGCTTATTTGGATGGATATAATTATCAATGAAAATTCAGCTAAAGGTGTAGCATTCCATAATCCTCTAAGCACTTTCCTCACATTCTTCAGAATTACATTCTTTCTATATCGTTTTAAGAGGCTCTTTGTCCATCAATTCCTATACCCTGTTTTTTAGAACTCAGCCCATATGTTCAGTGCAGTTGAAATCTCGGTTAATTCTTTCATATTCCACTTTCTTAAAATTTGACCTTAACCAGTAACAGAGCAGCAAACAAAGTACTGAATTATATTATCTTTCAAATGATGTATGACACGATATGTAACATGAAGGACATTTTGCTGTAGAGGGGGTTGCTGTTGTTTTTGACACCCTGTATACCAGGGTGTCAATTTTTTGAAATTGTGATTGATCTCAAATTTAAGTGTTACATTTTTGAAAATATCGAAAGTAGAAATATGAAAAGTTTCAAGTCAGTGCAAGATAAGTCAACATACGCGTCACTAATTATTTCAGTCCCATATCCCTTATCTTAGTTTAATCTATTTATTATTTAATACATTAATACATTTTATGTGCAGTAAACTTAGGGAGTTTCACCTGTGTTTATTTTTTTGATAACTATTCAGATGGTAATACTTCTAGGTCGGCATCTCGATCCGCGCTGTTATCTCAAACCTTACGGAAATCACGAACAATTGTGATTGGCCAATGTAAAAAGTGATTTGATTGGCAAATGAACTTATGGTTTGTAGTATATGATTGGATAATGGAGATGACAGGTACAATTGGTTTGATTGGTCGATGTAAAAAGTGATTTGATTGGTGAATGAACTGATGGCTTTAAGTATAAGAGTTGATAATAGATATAACAGGTACAATAAATTAATTGGTCAATGTAAAACGTGATTTGATTGGTGAATGGACTGATGGCTCTTCGTATACGATTGGATAATGGGGAGGCCGGGTACAAAATACTGAGATGACAGGCATAAACCGACTTGACGCTGTGAATGGATCACTGAAAATGAAATAATATATTTTCAAAAACATGTATCAAGTTAAACTGTACTTATTTGTGATGCTAGCTCCAACTAGGCTTAGGAGTCTTAGTCTATAAAAATATTTTTGAAACCCAAATTAATGTTTATCGATGGCACCATGTTTCTCTTCAAGCACATATTGGGTAATCCGTATAGAAAATAAAACATTCTATTGTCTATGGGCCCCTGAAACCTCCATGTCAACATTTGAATTTCAACATGTAATGTAATTAGTTATTTATGACATTATAGCAACACAAAAGCTGGATATTGGCAAAACACAAACGGATATAGGTGATGATTCTACAAAGCAGCCAGGTGTGATGATACAGCCACAAGAGGGTGTAGAGGTTATTTTGCCAGGTACGATTATGTACCAATGGGTAAGAGGTATAACCAGATAGCACATAGTTTGGCCATTGGTGCAAGCTAAAGTATGACAATCCTGTAGCATTGCATTGACCACTGCAATACTTTATTTTTTATTGTTTTTATACTCATGTTTAATATCTTCATTTTCCTCAATGGTGTTTCTTTTATTTCAGATACCTTGCCTACCTTATCTGACTTGTTCACACTAAAATCACGCGTGTTCACCAACGAGCAGACTGTGGCTGATAACTGCAAAGTAACGTGGGCGTCCAACGGTTGCACGGTGTCCTTAACTCCCAACCCTGATCACTGTCTGAATGTTAATGTTATCGTTGAAAAAGTCTTAAATACTATTAGTGGTATTGCAGAAGCACTTCGGCTAGGCTCAATTGGGAATAATCCTATTGATTTGTCTGATTTGGTCGTAAATTATCTTGAAATCAATGTCTGTAATGAAACCTTGGAACTTTCAGCTACTTTATTTGATGATCGGGAGATAACAATTATTCCTTCTACTTTAAGTGTTACAAATATCGAGATCAACCTGTCTATTGCGGTTCCAAATAAGACGATCACTGTGTCGTTTAATGCTACATGGGACTTTGGAGGGGTTTCATTTACTATCCTAGCAGGCTATGATAGTGGGGAATACGACATCACTGCACGCCCAGTTACATCTGATGTAACCCTTGCCACATTGTTGGGAAGTGTCGCAAATGCAGTGGTACCCGGTGATTCTACTAGTGCATTAGGTCTTTTCAATGAACTGAAGTTCAATAGCATTGTTGTAAGTGACATGAGTCTTGTTGCTAAATTTACAGATTCTGGCAATGGGTTCCAATTCTCCTTTACATCAACTGTACCTGGTCTTGGTAGTACAAACATCATGTTAAACTTCAACAGACTCAAAGAAGGAGGTAATTTCACAAATGGATTTTCATTGGCTGCCCTGATGAAAGAACTGACCCTCGCCTCAATTATTCAACATATTGGGAGCTATGATATATCTACTGTGCCTTTGATTGGTAGTTTAGCCTTTCCAGAAGTAGCGATTATTGGGGCTTCTAAAGATATTCCCGAGCTTATTGTCAACTTTACCAGTGATTCTGACGTAATGTCTTTACTACCATCAGTCACCGAGGGCATCACCCTATTGTTTACTGCAAGATTTGACGAAGACTCAGACCCGATGAATTTCATGGTTAAATATTCTGCTCCTAAGTCAATTGGCTTTACAATTTTGCCAGGACCACAGCTTGACATCGAGGGTATCATAAACAAAGTTCTCAACTCGATCAATCTTCAGCTTCCACCTGGATTTCCATTGGCGGCGTTTCTCAGTCAAAGTCTTTCTAATATGAACTATAACGGTGATATCAATGAGTTAAATATTCCAGTGATACTTGGAGATGACATAATAATAGTGAAACATGTGTTCGAGATAAAAGAACCTCGGATTAACTTTGTCATAGGACTAGGAAAACCAAGGACGTTAAGCTTCGTGGCAAGTGGCACGTGGCTGATAAAGAACTATCCCATTGCACTTAGCATTAGTAAACCACCTGGAGCATCCGAATTTTTGGCATCTGCTTGTTCTGAAAAACCACTAGAAGTTGGTAAAGTCATGGCACAATTAGCGTCGTCGTTTTTTCCTGATTTCGTCGATAATATTTTCGAGACGTTCTCAATCGAAAATCCATGTTTTGAAGTTTTGATAGGCAGCAATTTTGGTGTGAGAGTAAGTGGTACTGCAGTTATAGGTAGTTTTGATGCTTCGAAGGTAGAAGTATTAGGAGGAAAGGTAGATGGGGCTATGCTTATGGCTTTAGGCATTGTACTTGAAAAGACTAGACTCACTAGCGTTATAGATAAACTCACTAAGGGTAACGTTGACATAACGTCAATGCCAGGTAGTAGGATATTTGACGAAAGCTCTATCGGACTCGTAATGTCAACTTATGAAATACCAACCATGGGAAGGAGTGAATTAGAATTCAGACTCACAATGTTGAGCAACACCAATACATTAGATGGTGTATCGATTGTTGTCCATATGAAACTCCCAGTTGCCGCAGACTGTTCGGGTGATTTCCTCTGTCGAGTTTTTAACAAGTTCTTTCCTAATCTCTCTATGGTTATGAAGGGGCGACTTGCAATTGATGACCTCCTACTCGAGTCGACGATTCCTAAAGAAATAGAGATTGCTCCAGGATTTATGCTGTCTGGTTTAGGGTTTAGAATCATTGTAAGACCATCTATGATAGAGGTAGCCCTGATAGCTAGTCTGATAATAGATGATCCTGCTTTACGTTTCTCTGGTGCGATTGGGTTTTCAACTACAGGGGCAACATTGGAGATGGCAATGGTGGAGTGTTGGCCTAAACCATTCACTATTCCGATTGTAACTATATGTGACCTATTTATTAAAATAGGCATACTACCTGAACCCACCGTCATCTCTGAGTTGCATCTAGGGGGCCGTGCTCAAATCGGTTTGATTGACAACTCCAAAGCAAGACTCTTCAATGCATCTTTGTTTATCGGCCTCAACAAAATTGTCCCTTCTGAAAGTTATTTCTTAGGAAAAATTTCTAAATTAACGATCCCCGAAATATTAGCTGCATTTGCGTATTTCCCGAGTCTGCCAAAGGCTTTAGATGAGATAGGTTTTCCAGATGGTATTGATACATCATACTCCCAGTTTGGTAAAGTGTTACCGAATGGTGTAACAATACCCAGTGGGTTTAGATTTAACGGCACAATACAAATAATGCGCTTTAGAGTTAGTAGTAGAATGCGCATGGACATTAATGGTATATTCATATTTCTGACAGTAGATCGGTTTAACATTGGCAATGATCTAATCAGTGTTGATGGTGATGGTGAATCTGGTCCAGAATTGTTAGTTGACGTTGGGTGGAATCCACCTAGAGCCAAGATTGATATTCAGGGGAAAGTTTGTGTGCTTAAAATATGTGCGTCTGTTAATATAACAGTCGATTCACAAGGTATTCACTTTGAAATAGGGGGTGAATTCTTAGATCTCTTTAAAGCCAAACTTACGCTTACTGCTAGTTACACATCATTAGATTCTGCAACGTTTAGTGTATCGGGATACTTTGAGCAAACACTCTTGGATACCTTGAAGAATAAGGTGATCGATGCCATTGATAATTTAAGTGAGGAGGCAAGTGAGGCCCTCGATACAGCCACTAAAGAACTTGAATCAGCTAAACAAAGTATGGAAAATGCAGCTGAAGATCTGCGAGCCAAGAAAGCTATTGTAAGAACGCTTGTTTCAGCCAATGCTACTTTTTATTTATAACATTACGATTAAATAACTTGTTTTTATTATAATAGTGTAGCCTTTATCAATATAATTATATATACAAAGTTTGTCATAAAAGTTATAATATATTTAAGCCTAATTGTTTAGGTGATTTGATTAGTCCACAGTGGCATATGATAGAAAAAGCTGATAGAGTGTGAAGTGGAGCCACTATCGCCGATACAAGGTTTATGTATTTTTAGGTTGATGGGATTCAAAATTCAATTAATGCCAAAGCTCGAGAGATTGGTGATCAGAAAGCAAAGATTGACGACTTGGAAAGGAAATGGAAGGACAGTGTAGAAGCTGCCGAAAGAGAGGTTGAGAAATTAGAGGATGCGAAGGCAGAGATCATTAAAATGGAAAACGAGATTAAGAAAATAGAAGACAGCTGTCCAGATGGATGTTCATCAAAGCGCAAGAAAAGTAGGAATGAATTTTACCTTATGAATAAATGTATACTGTGATTACTTAACTAGATGATGAACTTTTGAATCACAGAAAACATTTATAATTTCTCAGATGAAGTCATACACCTATGTTTTCCTAATAACGTAATTCTTTGTGAGATTTTCACTGGAAAATCCTCAAAGCATTTCTAACATACAAAATATTCTGCTTATAATCAATTTTTATAATTATAGGCCTAGCTTTAAAAAATGATGACAGACAATTGGTTTTTTTCTTTACATAGCGTTTGTGCATTGACCTTATTTAGATGCAATAATGTAGACATTTGCCTTCATCGGATACTTGAGAATAATAACCATTGTCAATCTGCTTTTTGAGATCCGTCTCATGTTTTATTTAGACATCAGTTAGAATTTTATATTAAAATAACTTGAATTAAATAGCTCTCATTTTGTAATACAGGGTGGGCCAAAAAGGTAACTTAAACAAGCACGAGTTTAGTGTTTTATTTGGCACAATATTAGGCCTTGTCCAATGTATTGTCATTTCCCCAAGTTTCGTTTGTCTATCTCTAGTAGTCACGATTTTATGGCTTTTTCCAAATCGTGCCATAATAAGGGCATCGTGTATGGAGGCCAACTTGAACGTATTGGGCGTAATTGTTCACAACAGGAGTATATACATCTTGTGTATGGCTGTCATCTTCCTCCTTATCTCTTGTTTCAAAGGGTTGTTCGTGAAGAAAATAGGCCTACAGATAAAAATCTGATGGGATTTATGTCCAGTCAGTGAGACACATATCGGCATTGTGAGCATGTTTTGTAAATGGTCATCAAATCATGGCTATTATAATTAGACCGATGCACTGAGTAGAATGAAAGAACATTGAAAGAGGTTTAATTGTTTAATTTACTTTCAACAGCATGCAAAGAGATTTAGACATGAAACTGAAATACTTTAGGGTCAGGGCTACCTAGATTGCACAACATATCTTTTATCATTAATTAAGAATTATTTATAGAATTAAAATGATTAATTAATTAAAAATAATTTAGAATTATTTATTATTCAATTTTAACTAATAATCTTTGTGAAATAGATAAAACAAAAGCGTAAATATCCATGAACATGAGTCAGTACACTTAAGCTAGCACCCAAAATCAATAACTACTAGATTGTCTTCCATTTCGAACAAAACAAAAAAATCCTCCCTTAACAGAAGTTCGCCGTCATTTTTAAAAACTGTAATTAAAAGCTGAATGCTTAAACGTTTTCCTGTGAAAATTTCATAAAAATTGTTGTGAATTGAAAAGGTTGGGAAAACAGAGGTGTATGACTTGTTCTGTCCCTGTGCTACTGTATAACCATTTTAGGAAGTATGCTAGCCTATATGAAACGATTGAATACTTCCAACAATATTCATTATTTTTTAGGAAGCATGCGACGTGGTGTACAATTACTGCATGGCGATACGATTGTTAAAGGTATGATATCTGCAAAATGTCTGTTATATTTCTTTTGTGATATATTATGATATACAAATCGATTATTATCCCATCGAACGAAGATATATAAAATCTGTCCGTCCGTCCGTCCGGGCGATAACTCAAATACTGGTTGACGGATTTGATTCAAATTGTATTGACATATGCTAATGGGGGTTGAACCTCTGCTCGAGAAGGAATTTTCAATAAGGCCGCTCAGTTCAAAATGGCTGCCATTTTTCGTAAAAACGTAATCTTTAATAAATCAAATACTAGTAGATGAATTTCGTTCAAGCATAATATACTCATGCCTAGGGACAAATGACCTTTGCTCAATAAGACATTTTCAAAATGGCTGCTGACTTTCAAAATAGCCGCCATTTTTCAAAAACCAAGTCAAAAACCAGCAGACAGATGTTGTTCAAGTTTTATATGCTGATGGGTAGGAACTAGGAACACAGGAGATCTGCTCGATAAGAAATTGTTAAGATGGCAGCTGTTTTTCAAAATGGCCGCCATTTTTCGCAAACGAACGTAATCGTTGATCACTCGAATAACAGTAGACAGATTCCGTTGAAATTTAATATGTTGATGCAAAGGGACAAAGGAGCTTCGCCCAAGGAGACATTTTTAATATGGCTCCTGAATTTCAAAATGGCTGCCATTATCCGTTTAAGAACGTAATTATTGATAACTCAAATACCAGTAGACAGATTTCGTTCAAATGCTATATGATTTATCAAAACCTGTGTTGTTCAGTGGGATTTTCTTCTCTGTGGAGTTGCTCTGTTATAGTTTTTAATTTATTTCGCACATTGTACTCAACAATTCTGCTTAAAATAAGCGTCCTCCAAGCAGGTATGGTAACAGTAGATATTTATATTTTAGATTCACTGCTGGATAAAAGACTTGATGCCAAAGAATCTAAAGGTTTCCTCCATTCTCACACAAAACGAATCATCTCTGCTATAATGAGTAAGTATAAAGATAATTATGTTAACAAACTTGTGAAAAGAAAAAAGGAAACAGTGGAAAAAGAGCATATTTAAAACGCGACCAGTTTAAAACAAGTAGTTATTACACATGACAAGTACTTGTTTTCATATTATTAAATAAAATGACATATGTTTGGGCGTAATTCTAATACCCTAGTGCAAACTAGTATCTGATCCATGCAGTTCTGTGGTACTCATTAGATATAAATTGTCTATGAAATAATATTTAGAAAATAGGATCCAAGATCGACAAAAACGTTTCATCGGAGGCTTTAATCCATGGGAGAGTTCGAAAGAAGCATCGGAAAATGTCGCTGAAGCATTAAGACTTGAGGATGCACGGGAGTTTACCGAAGAAACGGGTAGAGAAGCGAGTGAAAGAACTCGGGAGACCGCTGAGAGTGCTAGGGAGAGCACTGTAGAAACAGGAAGAGAGTTCAATGAGCGAACAAGAGAGACTGTGGCAGAGACGGCGAGAGAAACTGCTGAGAAGTTGAGACTTGAGAGGATTCGAGAGGTTGCAGAATGTGCTGCTAAAGAAGCTACTAGAACGGCATGCTTGTTACCAATAAAAGTAGGAATTTCAATGACGCAATAAAAGTATAGAAAGTAAATAATATTAAGCTCAATGCAATCAATCCAATGAGGTGTAAGAGATGTAAATTGTATATGTTTTGCAATTAGTCCAAAGAGTCTTTCCTCTTTTGCAGACACTGAGTCTTACGTTAGTCGGTTTGAAATCAGGTCTTTTTGCAATGCAATCAGCTGCGGATTTTGCTCTTAAAGTGGCTAAAGAAAACAATCTTGCATTTGAAGCAGCGAAGCTTGCGTTGGTTGGTCTCGAAGAGTCTATGAAAGGCCTCGCTAGTTCGTTGGAAGGACCGAAGGGATTGATGGACGCAACTGCTGCAGTACTTGAACAAGCACAGTGAGTATTCTGTCGTCACTGGTAAGCATCTACCTGTCTACATAAACGGAAGTAGAAGGGAAGGCATGAAAAGTGTTGTATGTTGGATTAACGTTTTAAAAATATGCCATCAACATTTAAGGATTTAAGCCCTGAACCCAATGCATTGTCTGCTGAATCATTCCACTAAGATGTTGTTTAAAATATTTGCAAAGTTTAAGGAACAAAGCTTGAGTGGAATGAATCAGCCACAATGCATTGAGTCTTGGGCTTATATTCTTTTCACACATTGCAAATTTTCTTATACGATATCACTTAACAGATACGAAATCACTTAAAATAATATATTTTCAAGTTAACCTTTAGCAAGGATTATGTTGTCAACCCATCAATTTTACTTCCTTGATGTCTGTTCGGATTGTGTACATTCTCCCTCTATATCTAATATTAACTGTCTACTGTTTTGTTATACATCTTGAAATATATATGCTAAAACCAAAAATAAGTTGAACTTGAAATTGCAGACTATTCAATTTTACATTACATTGATTTCAATGGGATTTTGCGATACCTGCTATCTTTGAAAGTGTGTAACTTCAGATCTAGAAATGCTTTTACCATGCTTTTATTTGAAAGATAATAGATTATTCTTGAAGGCAGCGAAGCCATTTTTGGCACAAAAAAGTTATTGTGAAAGAGAAAATTGACAATTTATTACAATATGTCAAAAATGTACACCCCTTAGGTCACGTTGACCTTGTCTTGCCCTATATTGACATACTTTTTTTAGAAAATAAAACATTTCCGAAGAAGTGATTGAATAAGGCTTACAACAGTACCAACAATAATGAAATCAGACAAGTAGTAAAATCGCAGAGGGGGTCCAAATGTAATAAAAAAGGTTGCAGACATTAGAGTTAACGGAAGAAGGGAAGGATAAAAAGTGTAATATGTTTGATGCAACTTTTTCTATAAAACATGCCAGTGTTCTTATTTGATTTTCCAAAAAAGAATAGGGATATCTGATCTGATCAAGTATAAAGATTTTAAAAGATTGAAAAAAACATATGAGGAAAGGTCGCAATTCAATTTTCAAATGATTATTCTTAAACAAAGTCTGCCTGAGAACATTTTGACTTATTAGAAATAAACATTGAATGATGGGTGTGAACACTTACATTTTTGACGTAGATTCGTAAAGTAGAATATTTGCAATATATTTAATTTGAATGATATCGAAGATTCTAAAGTAAAATGCATGTAGCTCATTTTAAAATTTGAATTTTACTATTATAGATCCGTAGTGCTAACCGCCCAAGCCGTTTTGGATGGCGTGAATAGGCTACAAAAGGCTGGTCTGAACGCTCTCTCCTTCATCACTCAATTCGGCCTCGGGGGTATCATTAATATAAAAAAGCTTAGATTTAACGTAGCCCTTGCCGTCGCAGAGACTGGTGAATTCAGTGGTACGATAGTAGTGTCATTCCTTGGACGACCAGACGATACATTCTCTTTCCAGATAAAGGTGAAATATGTGGAAGATATGGTTGCTATATTAGTGGATAGAGTGAAAGATCTACTTAAATTGTAATTGTTGTTTGTGAACAAACGTTATCGTATAATGATTATTCAGAATTTCACGATTAATAAATCAGGCGTTATAACGCCATTTCTTTAGCGTCTTTATTCGATTTTTTCAATACTTTTGTTTCTATATATTTATATTCTGTATATTTCTTGCTTGATATTGCACTTTTTAATTCAAATTTTCAAAGATTTTATTCAATTTTAGTAAGTTTATTTAAAAGTCGATCATTGGTATTTGATACCAAATATTTGAATCAACCTCATCTTTAGAAGATTTTAACCCTCGCTACACAAGATATTATTGTGAAAGTTGTTCATTGTATTAACAACTTTTCTTTTAAGAAGGGAGATGTTACAGTAGTACTGTCTTCTATAGTCTATTATACTCACTTTAAGTTTAGTTTATCAATATGCATATACTGTTACCTTTTTATTAGGAATCTTAGGTCAAGGTCACAATGACATTACATGTATATCTTGTAAACACAAAATTGAACTGAATGACTCATTAACCCTCGACCTTTTAGAACATTCTGAAACTAGTAAACATTTGTTCAAATTGAATCATGTCACCAAATATGTCCAATCAAGATGTAGTTCCAAAAGATTAATTTCTAGATTATTCTTACACACTAGTATAAAAAGAACTGCACAGTACATTTAGGTAGCTGAACATAATCAGACATCTACAATAGCAGAACAAACAGGATCTTAAGAGGTTCTGGACAAATCATTTGATTCTGGACT